CTGGCTTTTTTTTTTTTTTTTTGAGACAGAGTCTCACTCTGTCACCCAGGCTGGAGTGCAATGGCGCGATCTCGGCTCACTGCAACCTCCGCTTCCCAGGTTCAATCGATTCTCCTGCCTCAGCCTCCTGAGTAGCTGGGATGACAGGCACGTGCAACCGCGCCCAGCTAATTTTTGTATTTTTAGTAGAGATGGGGTTTCAACATTTTGGCCAGGCTGGTCTCGAACTCCTGACCTTGTGATCCACCGCCTCGGCCTCCCAAAGTGCTGGGATTACAGGCTTGAGCCACCGTGCCCGGCCTTTTTTTTTTTTTTTTTTTTTTTTTTTTTTTTTTGTTTTGTTTTGATTTTTTGTTTGATGTAATTTTCCATCAAATTTCTCAAATCCTTTTTTTTTTTATTATTTATTTTTTTTGAGACTGAGTCTCGCTCTATCACCCAGGCTGGAGTGCAATGGTGCAATCTTGGCTCACTGCAACCTCTGCCTCCTGGGTGCAAGCAAGCAATTATCCTGCCTCAGCCTCCTTAGTAGCTGGGATTACAAGCATGTGCCACCACGTCTGGCTTTTTTTTTTCTCTTGTTTTCTTTTAACATCCTGCTATCTTAAAATTCTTTCACCTAAATTGTTCATAAATTGTTCTTCTCATGTTTCTTCGTTTTCTTTCATTTTGTCTTCCCCCGCTACCCTCCAGACCTAGCTGTAAATTCCTAATATGGTCCCGGCAGTCACAGCTAAATGGCACCTTCACTCAACAAACTCTAGGCTATCTGCTGCCCCAGCCAGGATGACCAGCCTGAGAAGTGTGGCATCAAAGGGTGGTAGGGGTTGGGGGGAGGAAGCACCAGGACTGGCACAGTCATGATGCTGGTGCTTAGGGGGCCATCAGCCCCAGGGGCAAAGACCACTTGACAAATCTGGGGTGAGTGCCAAAATGCTGTGGATGACTCAGGGAGTGGAGGTGGAGACAGGGCACCCCCTCTGCTCCCCTTCGAGTCTTGAGGTCTGAGATGGCTCCAAGTGTCCCCAGAGTAGGGCAGAAAGGAACTTTAGGTCCATCTGGCATGTGCCAGGAAGCAGGATCCATAAATTAAATGTTTTTGGTGGAGTGTGGAGACAGAGGCTCCTTGCCCCTCCAGGACACAGGGTGAACAGGATGGGCTCCTTCTTGGCCCAGCGGGAGTAGATGCCACCTCGGTGATGGGCTATTTGGGGGTAGTAGATTCAACATTCATGACACCACTCTTGTGGACTTAATGGTAAGGCACCAAGGCGGGGGCTCTTCTCCCTGCAGCAGCTGTTGCTTATCATCCAGTAGACCGAGATCCTCTCACACAGCGCCAGGGCGAGGATCGCGGCGAGCCAGCGGGTGCCTGCGGTTCTTGCAGGTGGCGTCCTGGAGCTGGTTGCAGCAGGCCCTTCTGCGCGGGGTGGAGGCGCCCTCCGCAGGCCGCAGCGCGTCTCCAGCTTCTGGACGCAGTGCGAGCGGTTGCGCAGCTGCAGCGGCACCTGCAGGGGCATCTGAGATGCCCGGCAGGGTGCTGCGCCCGCCCAGGTCCCTGCAAAGCTCATGGCAGGCGCCCAGGGCGCCGAGCACGCACTTGGCCCCGTGCATCTCAGCGCCCAGGACTCAGCCCGGCATCTGGCCACTAAAGTTTTACAATTTTATTTTATTTTATTTTTATTTTTGTAGAAATTTATTTATTTATTTATTTATTTATTTATTTATTTATTTATTTATTGAGAGAGACAGAGAGAGAGAGAGAGAGAAACAGGAGGAGAGAGAGAGAGAAACAGCTAAGTCTCACGCTGAGTGAGAGAATCCAGAAAGATGGGATCCAGGAGAGGAAAGCAGCCTCCACACTGATTGGAAGGGAACAGAGAGAGATGGAGTTGAGCGGGGGAGACAGGCTTCCCGGAGGGACTGTGGAAGGGGACCCCAGAGGGGAAATTGAGGAAAGAGAAAGATGGCTTCCACGAGACTGTTCGTGGAAGGGGACCCGAACATGGAGTCCCTACAATTTTATTAGTCTGTAGGCACATATTATGAAAGGCTTTTTTGGCTGGGCATGGTGGCAAATGCCGTAATTCCAGAACTTTCAGAGTTCGAAGTGGGTGGATGGCCTAAGGCCAGCACCATTTCTAATATAAATATATATGTGAAAGGCTTTTTTAACACCAACAGGAGTGAAGTGTTGGTCTTACTTCCCAGGTTGTGGGTTTCTCTTGCTTTACTTATCCTTAGAAGCAAACTGGATTAGTATGTTCTTCGCTCTAAATGTGACTTCCAGGACATTAGTTCAAAATAATCTACTGTCCACGTTTAAAACTAACACCACTACATTCCCGAACTAACTTCATAACCTCTTAAAAACAAAGATTCTGTCAATTGTGTTAATTGACCTAAAATTTGCTTTCAAGTCTAAATCCTCATTGTTTTTTTAAATGAAGTAGTGAGAAGAGGGAGAGTTCAATTTGTAACTGACTGTGAACAATTGAGATAACTCACCCTACTGGCTCATCTTGGACCAGCTTTTTTTTTTTTTTGGATACTCTGTCTAACCCAGGCTGGAGTGCAATGGCTCAACCATGGCTCACTGCAGCCTCATCCTCCAGGGCTCAAGTGATCCTCCATTTCAGCCTCCCGAGTACTTAGGATCACAGATGTGTGCCACCACAGTGGCTTAATTTTTTTGTAGACATGGAGTTTCACCATGTCGCTCAGGCTGATCTCAAACTCCTTGGCTCAAAGGATCCACCCGCCTTGGCCTCCTAAAGTGCGGCGATTATAGGCACGAGGCACCACGCCCAGCCCAGTCCAGCCCAGCCTCAAATTCTTTTTTTTTTTTTCTGAAGGGACCAACAGCCTGAGACCCTTTGGGGCTTGCAGCTCTCCAGGACTGAAGGCCCCTTTATTTTTTTAAGAGATGGGGTCTTGCCGGGCGTGGTGGCTCAAGCCTGTAATCCCAGCACTTTGGGAGGCCGAGGCGGGTGGATCACGAGGTCAAGAGATCGAGACCATCCCGGTCGACATGGTGAACCCCGTCTCTACTAAAAATACAAAACATTAGCTGGGCATGGTGGCGCGTGCCTGTAATCCCAGCTACTCAGGAGGCTGAGGCAGGAGAATTGCCTGAACCCAGGAGGCGGAGGTTGCGGTGAGCCGAGATCGCGCCATTGCACTCCAGCCTGGGTAACAAGAGCGAAACTCCGTCTCAAAAAAAAAAAATTGGAAACAAACTTCAAAACTTGTTCTACAGTCTGTAGAGTATTCTCCGGGCTTCCAAAGTAAACAGGATTTTTGGAAACATCCCAGGCCACATTCAGATCTAAGTCTGAAAATACTAAATGATCTAGTTGTTAAAATGGTGGCCGGGCATGGTGGATCAAGCTTACAATTCTAGCACTTTGGGAGGCTGAGGTGGAAGGTTTTGTCCGTTTGTCAAGAAACAAAACAAACAAACAAAAACTCAAAATGGTAAGTTAATGAGAATGATTTTCATGGGTATTCTAAAAATAGTATGTGCTGGCATCATTGAGAGTCTAGTGTCATCCCACAAGAATGTCTATCTACCGTTCTAGTCACTGCTCATATGTCATTTTGTTTCATAGGAATAGTATATAAAAATTGACATCAGAAATCAGAAACAGAAGGGAGATTTACTAAACACACAGTGATAGCGATGTTGAGAATCTAAAACAACTCAGATCCTTAATTTTCTCTCTTTCTTTTTTTGAACCTTAATTTTCATTGGTGTGTCTCAAATTTCAAGCATGCCATCTCTTTTCACAGGAAGAAAAAAGCCGTAACACTTGAAGGTTAACTTAATATATATTTATTTTAATATTTTTTATATTTTTATCAACATAAAATAGGTATTCTTTCTGCTTATAGTTCATATACAATAAATGATAAAACATTTAAAAATTAAATTAAAACAAAAATAAAACCAATAAAATGGAATTTAACCATCATTAACATAACAAATGCTGTCTTGCTCAAATAAAAGTGTTTTGCTCAAATGAAGCAAATCACAAGTATTTGGTTTAATAGCAAAAAGCTGTAGTTTCAGCTTCCATTCTGTAAACTGAGTATTTTTACTTTAACAATAATGTTGAGAATGCTTGCTCACATAAGTATCTTATTCAAACTAGTATTGACCAATTAAGTCTTTCCTTCCTCTTTCAAGGTAACTAGAATTTTTTTTTTTTTTTTGAGACTGAGTCTTGCTCTGTTGCTCAGGCTGGAATGCAGTGGTGCTATCTCAGCTCACTGCAACCTCTGCCTCCTGGGTTCAGGCAATTCTCCTGCCTTAGCCTCCTGACTAGCTGGGACTACCGGTATGTGCCACCACACCTGGCTAAGTTTTGTATTTTTAGTAGAGATGAGGTTTTGCCATGTTGGCCAGGATGGTCTTTAACCCTGACCTCAAGGGATCTGCCTGCCTGGGCCTTTCAAAGTGCTGGTATTACAGGCGTGAGACATTAAGCCTGGCCAAGAACAAAATATTAACCAAACCTGTCAAATGGCAGTCCTTAAATGCCAACTTTTATTATTTCTTTCTTTCTTTTTTTTTAAAGATGGGTTTTCACCATGTTGGTCAGGCTGGTCTTGAACTCCTGACCTCAGGTGATCCACCTGCCTTGGCCTCCAAAGTGCTTAGATTACAGGCGTGAGCCACCATGCCCAGCCACTAACTTTTAAAAAGTTGTAAATTGATAGACTGTGAAGATTATCGATTACCTATTTATTTTTATTTATTTTTTTGACACAGAGTTTTGCTCTCGTTACCCAGGCTGGAGTGTATTGGTGTGATCTTAGCTCATTGTAACATCCACCTCCTGGGGTCAAGCAATTCCCTTGTCTCAGCCTCCTGAGTAGCTGGGATTACAGGCGTGTGCCACCACTCCCGGCTAATTTTTTGTATTTTTAGTAGAGATGGAGCTTCACTATGTTGGCCAGGCTGGTCTTGAACTCCTGACCTCAGGTGATCCGCCTGCCTCAGCCTTCCAAAGTGCTGGGATTATAGGCGTGAGCCACCTCACCCAGCAACAATTACTGTTAATCTTCACTGCCTAATGAAGTCACTGCCTAGTGACAATTGAATCTAATTAGTTTAACATTCTTTGCTATTTATTTGCTAACATGCTTATTGCTAAGGATCTGCTGTAAGTGACTCTGTAGAGGAGACTTACAATACCATAGTACTGATTATTGCAGGACAAATGTTTTCTGAGTAATGTAAGATTCTGACCGTCATGCCAAAAACCAAATCAGGTATATTATGTGTACAACAACAGCACACCATCATTTTTCTCATTTTCATATAATCTGCGTTCTACAGCATCAACAGTTTTATTTTCTTTTAGAGCAGATTTTAATTTTGAGTACTTAACACTATTGTTGATGTGCATTTCACTTTCTTCATGTTTACTAAGAATATGTGATAAATGTTGCCAATCTTTGCAGCCATTCTCATTTTTCAGTTGATTCTTTCCTTCCCCAAAGAGTTTGCAATATAGACAAAACACAGAATCTTTTGAGGTCGAATAAAGTAACCAAGATCTAGTGGTTTTTTCACCATTTGGAAGAATCCGTGTATAATAAGTTTCTGAAAACTTCCTCCCTGTATTATCTTTTGGAAAGTTAAAATTTCTTACTTGAGGTGGAACATTATCGACAAGAGTGTCCCGCTGTTTAATATTCAAAATCCGTGGCCATGTACCTGGATCTGCGGAAAGCACAACTGGTACAATGGAGGCTTCAGAATTTTTCTCTTCCAGTTGCTCTTGAAATATATCAGCTATGGTTGACATGGAAGGAGGAGGTAAATTCACGTTCTTTGTGATCAGCAATGTATCTGTGCTACATTCTACTGAAACCTGTAGCTCTGATGTCTTTTCCTTTTTGTCTGGGATTCCCTCTATGTTTTCCAAAAATATACTTGACGATCCACAGAAATGTTTTTCATTTTCCTCTCTAACAGCATTCCTTTTTCTATTTTCTGATGCTGATGGTTTTTTTGATTTTGTTTCCATCATCTGAGGACAAACAGAATGGATTACAATTTTAAGACTGTTAAATTTTTTAAAATTTATATACAAATGCTCAATAAGCACAAGAAAAGAAGCTCATCATTAGGCATCAGAGAAATGCGAATCAAAAGGCAACAGCCGGACAATGGCTCATGCCTGTAATCCCAGCACTTTGGCAGGCCAAGGCAGGTGGATCATTTGAGGTTGGGAGTTGGAGACTAGTCTGATTAACATGGTGAAACCCCATCTCTACTAAAAATACAAAAATTAGCTGGGCCATAGTGGTGTGCGCCTGTAATTCCAGCTACTCAAGAGGCTGAGGCAGGAGAATTGCTTGAACCCTCAAGGCAGAGGTTGTGCTGAACTGAGATTGCACCACTGCACTCCAGTCTGGGTGACAGAGTGAGACCCTGTCTCCTCTCCCCAAAAAAGGTGATGACACATCACTTCACATCCAAGAGGATGGCTATAATAAATAGAGAAGGAGGCCGGGCATGGAGGTTTACGCCTATAATCTCAGCACTTTGGGAGGCCGAGGCGGGTGAATCACTTGAGGTCAGGGGTTTGAAACCAGCCTGGCCAATATGGAGAAACTCCGTCTCTACTAAAAATACAAAATTTGCTGGGTGTGGTGGCAGGCACTGGTAATCCCAGCCACCCTGCAGGCTGAGGCACAAGAGATCTCGACTGAACCCTGGAGGCAGAGGTTGCAGTGAGCTGAGATCGTGCCACTAAACATCAGCCTCGGCAACAGAGCAAAACTCCATCCTTGAAAAAAAAGACAATGAAAGTGTTGGCAAAGATGTGGAGAAACTGAAACCTCCAGAAGATGCTGGTGGGAAATGTAAAGTGGTGTAGCCACTTTACAAAACTGTCTGGCAGTTTGTCAAAGTTTAAACAGAGTTATCATATGACCCAGCAATTCCACTCCAAGGTATATACCCCAAAGAAATAAAAATATATGTCCATACAGGCCAGGCACAATGGCTCACACCTGTAATCCCAGCACTTTGGGAGGCCAAGGCGGGCGGATGATGAGGTCAGGAGTTCAAGACCAGCCTGGCCAAGATGGTGAAAGCCCGTCTTTACTAGAAATTCAAAGAAAATTAGTTGGGCGTGGTGGTGGGCGCCTGTAATCCCAGCTACTCTGGAGGCTGAGGCAGGAGAATCGCTTGAACCTGGGAGGCAGCGGTTGCAGTAAGCCGAGATTGCACCACTGCACTCCAGCCTGGTGACAAGAGTGAAGACTCAGTCACAAAAAAAAAAAAAAAAAAAAAAAAAAAACAACTCAGGACATATATTAACTTCAGTTTCTATAGGGAACAAAGCTTCTGACTCTTAACTTTCTTAGCTATTGTTTTAAGCTATTATTATTATTATTTTTTTTTTTTGAGACGGAGTTTCGCCCTTGTTACCCAGGCTGGAGTGCAATGGCGCGATCTCGGCTCACCGCAACCTCCGCCTCCCGGGCTCAGGCAATTCTCCTGCCTCAGCCTCCTAAGTAGCTGGGATTACAGGCACGCGCCACCACGCCCAGCTAGTTTTTTGTATTTTTAGTAGACACAGGGTTTCACCATGTTGACCAGGATGGTCTCGATCTCTTGACCTCGTGATCCACCCACCTCGGCCTCCCAAAGTGCTGGGATTACAGGCTTGAGCCACCGCGCCCGGCATTTTAAGCTATTATTATTATTTTTTTTGAGACAGAGTTTCGCTCTTGTTACCCAAGCTGGAGTGCAATGGTGCGATCTCGGCTCACCGCAACCTCTGCCTCCTGGGTTCAGGCAATTCTCCTGCCTCAGCCTCCTGAGTAGCTGGGATTACAGGAACGCGCCACCAGGCCCAGCTAATGTTTCGTATTTTTAGTAGAGACGGGGTTTCACCATGTTGACCAGGATGGTCTTGATCACTTGACCTAGTGATCCACCCGCCTCTGCCTCCCAAAGTGCTGGGATTACAGGCTTGAGCCATCATGCCCGGCTGTTTTAAGCTATTATTACCTTTTTTTTTTTTTTTTTGAGATGGAGTCTTGCCCAGGCTGGAGTACAATGGTGTGATCTTGGCTCACTGCAACAACCCTTGTCTCCTGGGTTCAAGCGATTCTCCTGCCTCAGCCTCTGGAGTAGTTGGGATTACAGGTGCCTGCCACCACATCTGGCTAATTTTTATATTTTTAGTAGAGACAGGGTTTCACCATGTTGATCAGGCTGGTCTCAAACTCATGACCTTACGTTATCCACTTGCCTCAGCCACCCAAAGTGCTGGGATTACAGATGTGAGCCACCACATCCACTGGAGACTATTAAACTAAAGCAGACATAAACTTTGGCCTCGGGGAACTTACGGTTTCTTGGCGGGGGATAAAGCACATGTATAAGCAAGTATTTCTATTGGAGGCAATAGGGTACACTAATGAATGTTTCTATTGGAGGCAGCAGAGCACACAAAAGATGTAGGTCAAATCTAGCTGTGTGCCTAGGCTAAATGCTCTCTGAACTTCAGTATCTTTGACATTTTAAAATTACATATACCAGCCAGGTAAAGTGGCTCACGCCTGTAATCCCAGCACTTCGGGAGGCTAAGATGGGTACACTGTTTGAGCCCAAGAGTTCAAAACCAACCTGGGCAATGAGACAAAACCCCTGCAGGCATGCACCACCACACCCAGCTAAAGTACAAAAATTAGGTGAGGTGGTGGCGCATGCCTGCAGGCCCAGCTACTCAGGAGGCTGAGGTGGGAGGATCACATAAGCCTGGAGGATCACTTGAGCTGGAGGTTGCAGTAGGCAGAGCTCACACCACTGCACTCCAGCCTGGGTGACAGAGGGAGAGATCCTGTCTCAAACAAACAAACAAAACATAAAAACAGATACATTTAGTATAAAACACTAACTAGTCATACCAGGTTAATTAAAACAAATAGGAGTCCCCTACCACCTCTACCTATTTCCCTTTTACAAGAAGCTAACCACCTATAACCTTTTAAAATAAAATTTTAAAAAAATTTAACATATACCATTAAAAATATATTTTATTAATTTTTTAAAGTTCACTATCCAGTAATAGCTATAAGCAAAAAATATATATATAGTTTTGAGACAGTCTCACTCTGTCATTCAGGCTGGAGTGCAGTGATGAGATCATGGCTCACTCATTTGCAATCATGACCTCGGAGGCTCAAGTGATCCTCCAGGCTCAGCCTCTCGAGTAGTTGGGACCACAGGGGCATGACATGCCAGCTAATTTTTAAGTTTTTTGTAGAGACAGCGGTCTCACCATGTTGCTGAAGTTGGTCTTGAACTCCTGGGCTCAAACGATTCTCTTTCCTCAGCCTCCCAAAGTGCTGGGATTGTAGACATAAACCATCATGCCAGGTAAGAAAGTTTTTTGAGACAAGGCCCTTGCTTTGTTGCCCAGGGAGAAGTACAGTGGCCATTCACAGGTGTGATCCTAGTGTACTACAAACTCAAATGCCTGGGCTCAAATGACCCTCTTGTCTCAGCCTTTCTAGTAGCTAGTATTACACGTGCACACCACCAAGCCTAGCACTTAACATTTTTCTGGCTGATTCTTTGGTTATATATTTCCAAATCTCAAAGTAACATGTTCATATCACTATTTACTTTTTTCCTTCTCCGCTTTAGGTATCATCAATTGACTTCTCAATGAGGAAGATGAAAATTTTGCTTTCCTTCCTTTTACCACGCTCACTATATATACTCATCACCCAGCCACTTATCTTTGGTTACAGGATTTCCTGGGCAAGATGATTATTTGTTGTAAGGGACTGTGCTGTGAACTGCAGATGTTTAGCAGCACCTCTGGACTCTATCCACTAGATGCCAGCAGCACCCCTGAAGTGTGATAGTCAAAAATGTTTCTAACCTTCTGAATTCTTTTATCTGGCAAAAAAAAAAAAAAAGTTTCTAGACATTGCCAAATGTCCGCATGGAGTCAAAAATCGTTCCTGGTTGAGAAACACTGGCTTTATTATTATTTAGACACAGTCATTTTATAACTGTGTATGTTATTCAGCAATAAGCTACTAATTGCAAGATTGCAGTTTTTTCTTGTGGTGTTCACATATGAAGGCTTTCTCTGTTGGCCTCTTCAGAAGGCCCACCACTAATTACTTGAAAATACTCATGTGGGCTGTGTGTGGTGGCTCACGCCTGTAATCCCAGCATGATGGGAGACTAAGGCAGGTGGATCACCTGAGGTCGGGAGTTCAAGACTACCCTGAGGGCTGGGCACGGTGGCTCAAGCCTGTAATCCCAGCACTTTGGGAGGCCAAGGCAGGTGGATCACAAGGTCGAGAGATCGAGACCATCCTGGTCAACATGGTGAAACCCCGTCTCTACTAAAGATACAAAAAATTAGCTGGGCATGGTGGCACGTGCCTGTAATCCCAGCTACTCAGGAGGCTGAGGCAGGAGAATTGCTTGAACCCAGGAGGCGGAGGTTGCGGTGAGCCGAGATCGCGCCATTGCACTCCAGCCTGGGTAACAAGAGCGAAACTCTGTCTCAAAAAAAAAAAAAAAAAAAAAAAAAAGACTACCCTGATTAACATGAGAAACCCCATCTCTACTAAAAATACAAAATTAGCCAGGCATGGTTGTGTATGCCTGTAATCACAGCTACTCTGGAGGCTGAGGCAGGAGAATCACTTGAACCTGAGAGATGGAGGTTGCAGTGAGCTAAGACTGTGCCATTGCACTTCAGCCTGGGCAACAAGAATGGAACTCCATCTCAAAAACAAACAAAGAGAAGCCGGGCGCGGTGGCTCAAGCCTGTAATCCCAGCACTTTGGGAGGCCGAGGCGGGTGGATCACGAGGTCAAGAGATCGAGACCATCCTGGTCAACATGGTGAAACCCCGTCTCTACTAAAAATACAAAAAGTTAGCTGAGCATGGTGGTGCGTGCCTGTAATCCCAGCTACTCAGGAGGCTGAGGCAGGAGAATTGCCTGAACCCAGGAGGCGGAGGTTGCGGTGAGCCGAGATCGCACCATTGCACTCCAGCCTGGGTAACAAGAGCGAAACTCCGTCTCAAAAAAAAAAAAACAAAAAAAACAAAGAGAAAATAATCATGTGTTTGGAGTGGGGAAGCACATTTATAAAATGTAAAACATTCTGATTATACAGAAATATCATGCCTATATTTGCCAACTTTTAAATTATTATCATTATTATTTGAGACAGGGTCTTACTCTGTTGCTTAGGTTGAAGTGCAGTGATGTGATCTTGGCTCACTGCAACCTCTGCCTCCTGTGCTCAAGTGATTCGCCAACCTCAGCCTTCCAAGTACCTGGGACTACTGGTATGCACCACCATGCCTGGCTAATATATATAAATAAATAATTAAATATATATCTATATGTATATATTTTTTTGAGACATAGTCTCATTCTGTCACTCAGGCTAGAGTATAGCGGTGCCATCTTGGCTCACTGCAACCTCTGCCTCTTGGGTTCAAGCGATTCTCCTGTCTCAGCCTCCCAAAATCCTGGGATTACATGAGTGAGGCACTGCACCCAGCCCAGAGTAAACTTTTTTTTTTTTTTTTTTGAGACGGAGTTTCGCTCTTGCTACCCAGGCTGGAGTGCAATGGCGCGATCTCGGCTCACCGCAACCTCCAACCCCTGGGTTCAGGCAATTCTCCTGCCTCAGCCTCCTGAGTAGCTGGGATGACAGGCACGTGCCACCATGCCCAGCTAATTTTTTGTATTTTTAGTAGAGATGGGGTTTCACCATGTTGACCAGGATGGTCTCGATCTCTTGACCTTGTGATCCACCCGCCTCGGCCTCCCAAAGTGCTGGGATTACAGGCATGAGCCACCGCGCCCGGCCTCAGAGTAAACTTTTAAAACAAGCTTACAACAATCGATAGACTTGAATATTTGAGATGGGACAAACCAATGACAGAATTACAAAATGGACCTAAACGAGATTATAAGAAATCTGGTTCATGTATGCTATAAGGATGAAGCTACTATGTAACTTGATCATTTAAGGCTTATTAGAAAGAATTACCTGTTTATATTCGTTAACGCAACTGTGGCAGCAAAATCTCTTCTGCTGACCTCCAATCACCAGGATGTTGCTTCCAGTACTCTTACTAGGCATGTACTCTCCACAGTGTTCACAGCAGTTCATTATTAGACCATTGGCCAATCTGTACTTATTAAAGCAATGGTTACTGCACAGTTTATGTGTTACATTATTTACACTGACTTCATGGCGAATCTAAAAAAAAAAAAACAAAAAAAAAACAACAGAATTCATTAACTAAGATATATGAACCACATTAGTACAACAAACAAGATAACTAGTTTCTGCAACAGAAGCAAAGAATCCCTAGTCATATCTCAGGGGAAGATATTCCCAGGGGAAAAAATATACACATATAATTTACATATATATATATATAATTTATATATAAAATTTTGATACATATATATATATATATATATATATATTTTTTTTTTTTTTTTTCTTGAGACAGAGTCTCACTCTGTTGCCCAGGCTGGAGTGCAATGGCACAATCTTGGCTCACTGCAAACTCTCCCTCCCAGGTTTAAACAATTATCCTGCCTCAGCCTCCTGAGTAGCTGCAATTACAGGTGCCTGCCACAATGCCCAGCTAATTTTTGTATTTTTAGTAGAGATGGGGTTTCATCATGTTGGCCAGGCTTGTCTCGAATTCCTGACCTCAAGTGATCTGACTGCCTCAGCCTCCCAAAGTGCTGGGATTACAGGAATGAGCCATCATGCCTGGCTGTGAAAAGATTTTTTTCCTTTATTTATAAGGTCACTTTGATTTTACAAGAGAAAATAAGATTTATAGGAAAGCAATAAAATCACTAATAACTTCTCTAAAGTCATTTAATAACAACAGAAAATGAACTTTTTTTTTTTTGATTTGAGACAAGTTCTTGCTATGTTACCCTGGCTGATCTCGAATTCCTGGGCTTAAGCAAGCACTCTATTGATGCCTCTTGAGCAGCTCAGATTACAGGTTGCAGCACTACACCTGGCTTTGGTTTAGAAGATTTTGATATGACTTGCTTAAAAGAAATAATCTTTTTTTTTTTTTTGATATGGAGTCTTTTGCTCCGTCACCCTGGCTAGAAAGCAGTGGTACAATCATAGCTCACTTCGTCTTCAAACTCCTGGGGTCCAGTGAGCATCCCGTCTCAGCCTCCTCAACAGTTGGGATTGTATGTGTGAGTCACTCATCTCCAGCAATCAACAATTTTTAGATAGTATTATAAGTTCACTGCCCTAGAACACTTGTGGAGGGAGCTAAGGGAATCACTATCACCTGTATTCAGGATGGTTTCGGTATAACCAGAAGCAGAGTAGTTCTCACTGTGGTAACTGAGATAAAATAATGTCCTTTGTATGCATGGCTCAGGGGTAAACACCACCAAATTTAGTTACCAAAGACTTTATAAAGTGAGGACTGCCTACATGCATGTTTCTTCTAGGAACTGGGAAAACTGCAGTATCACTTAATGTTAAGCAAACAATATGTATGCATTTACTCCACTTGTTCCATGTGTTCTTGTACCAGGATCTGTTGTTCTTCATGTCCTGCAACTACATTTTTTAAATCATCTATTTTTTTAAAAATAATTTTAACTTTAATTTTAGATTCAAGGGATACATGTGTAGGTTTATTACATGGATATGTTGTGAGGTGTGGGGTAAGAATGATCCTGTCGTTCAGGTAGTAAGCATAGTACCCAAGAGGTAGTTTTGGGTTTTTATTTTTTATTTTTTATTTTTATTTTTATTTTTTTTTTTTTTGAGACGGAGTTTCGCTCTTGTTACCCAGGCTGGAGTGCAATGGCGCGATCTCGGCTCACCGCAACCTCCGCCTCCTGGGTTCAGGCAATTCTCCTGCCTCAGCCTCCTGAGTAGCTGGGATTATAGGCATGCGCCACCATGCCCAGCTAATTTTTGTATTTTTAGTAGAGACGGGGTTTCACCATGTTGACCAGGTTGGTCTCGATCTCTCAACCTCGTGATCCACCCGCCTCGGCCTCCCAAAGTGCTGGAATTACAGGCTTGAGCCACCGCGCCCGGCAGTTTTGGGTTTTTAAAAATTTTTTTTGAGATGGAGTCTCACTCTGTCATCCAGGCTGGAGTGTAGTGGCACAATCTTGGCTCACTGCAGCCTCTGCCTCCCGGGTTCAAGTGATTCTCCTGCCTCAACCTCCCAAGTAGCTGGATTACAGGTGTGCGCCACCATGCCTGGCTAATTTTTCTATTTTAGTAGAGATGGCATTTCGCCATGTTGACCAGGTTGGTCTCAAACTCCTGATCTCAAGATATCCACCTGCCTTGGCCTCCCAAAGTGCTGGGATTACAGACGTGAGCCACCACCCCTGGCCCCAAGAGGTAGTTTTCTAGCCCTTGACCCCCAACTCTTAGACTATATTTTTTATTTATTTGTTTTGAGATGGAGTCTTGCTCTGTCACCCAGGCTGGAGTGCAGTGGCGTGATCTCGGCTCACTGTAGCCTCCACCTCTTGGGTTCAAGCAGTTCTCTGCCTCAGCTGCCTGAGTGGCTGGGATTACAAGTGCCCACCACCATGCCCAGCTAATTTTTGTATTTTAGTAGAGACGGGGTTTCACTATCTTGGCCGGACTGGTCTTGAACTTCTGACCTCGTGATCCACAAGGCCTCAAGGCCTTCCAAAGTGCTGGGATTACAGGCATGAGCCACCGCACCTGGTCAAGACTACATTTTTAGTGAATGTCACCAGTAAGAACAAAATCCACCATAAAACAATTGCCTTGTTTATGAGCATAGCCAATCCCACAGAAACATGTACTTTCCATGCTACGCATATGGGATTTTATTTATAAAAATATCCCATAAGATAGTTCTAACATATCCTTATTCTTCCTTTTAGCTTCATGTTATACATCCAGAACATGTGCATTATGTAGATAAAAGAGTACATAATAACACTTAAAAGTTAAAATTAAGGCCGGGCACAGTGGCTCAAGCCTGTAATCCCAGCACTTTGGGAGGCCGAGGCGGGTGGATCACGAGGTCAAGAGATAAGAGACATCCTGGTCAACATGGTGAAACCTCGTCTCTACTAAAAATACAAAAAATTAGCTGAGCATGGTGGCGCGTGCCTGTAATCCCAGCTACTCAGGAGGCTGAGGCAGGAGAATTGCCTGAACCCAGGAGGCGGAGGTTGCGGTGAGCCGAGATTGTGCCATTGCACTCCAGCCTGGGTAACAAGAGCGAAACTCCGTCTCAAAAAAAAAAAAAAAAGTTAAAATTAGCACTGTTAGCCTAAACAACAACTTAGGTATAAAAATACAGACCTCTGTTAATTTACTACAAATTGTACATCTTGACTTATTAAAAACTCCTTTTTTAAGATTCTGGTTTTTTCCACAGGGAGACAAACAAGATGTATTACAAAATTCTTGGAAGGATTTGCTTGATTCTACTGGAAGAACATTAGCCTTCTTTGTAGATGCATCTCTGAAACAGAAGAGATAGACTCATAATTCAGGAACATTGCATTTTAATACACGTCAAATATATGAATAATAATTGCCATTTTTCATTTTCTTATGATTTAATACTAGAAATCAACTATAATTTTTGGATGCAGCAAATCTACTTTTGGCTTTATTGCCAAGAGTTCTTAAATGATAAAGAGAAGAATCATAGCACAAGAACCTTATCACAAGTTGAGATTTTTAGATGCATTCAAAAATGCTAGTAATAGGTGGGGCACAGTGGCTCACACCTGTAATCCCAGCACTTTGGGAGGCCAAGGTGGGCACATCACTTGAGGTCAGGAGTTCGAGAGCAGCTTGGCCAACATGATGAAACCCCATCTCTACTAAAAATACAAAAAATCAGCTGGGTGTGGTGGCAGGAGCCTGCAATCCTAGCTACTAAGGAGGCTGAGGCAGAAGAATCACTTGAACCTGTGAGGCAAAGGTTGTAGTAAGCGGAGATCGCGCCACTGCACTCTAGCCTGTGCAACAGAGTGAGACTCAGTTTCAAAAAAACAAATAAAAATGCTGGTAATAAATTTATAGAACTAAGGTGTAAGATGGGGAAGAAGCCGGGCGCGGTGGCTCAAGCCTGTAATCCCAGCACTTTGGGAGGCCGAGGCGGGTGGATCACGAGGTCGAGAGATCAAGACCATCCTGGTCAACATGGTGAAACCCCATCTCTACTAAAAATACAAAAAATCAGCTGGGTGTGGTGGCAGGAGCCTGCAATCCTAGCTACTAAGGAGGCTGAGGCAGAAGAATCACTTGAACCTGGGAGGCAGAGGTTGTAGTGTGCGGAGATCGCGCCACTGCACTCTAGCCTGTGCAACAGAGTGAGACTCAGTTTCAAAAAAACAAATGAAAATGCTGGTAATAAATTTATAGAACTAAGGTGTAAGATGGGGAAGAAGGGGAGGCAAATGTAGTGGCAGGGAGAGGGCAACTAACTTCCATACCTATGTTCCATGTTTCTGCCAAGAATACATATAGCACAAACGAGTCCATAGCTTAGACATATTCTAGGAGCTCAAGATCAGTAAACTTAAAGACACTCCTGCAACAATTCTACTGATAAATCTATCCAGCTTTGCAATTACATTAAGTGTACTTATTTATACCACTAGTATTCAACTATGTGGAGAAATGGTGAAAGGTACTGCTTACTTTTTACATATTACACTTCGTGTGTTTTGAGTACGTTTATGAGAGAAGGAAGACAGGCACGTGGTAGAACAAAAGAGGTGAGCTGATCCTTTTCGTTGATAAGCTGTCTGGCCCTTCTGTAAAGGCTTTTTGCAATTGGCACAAGTGATTTTAGCTGGTTTAGTAAGTTGCTGTTGGGCTGTAAGCTGGAAATTCTGCTTACGAAGTAAGGCCACTGGTGATAAAGAATCCATTCCTGGCTGTTTCTGATTACGGGGAAATGAAGCTGACTGGGAGATCCAAGAATCTTAAAAATGAAACACACAAGAGGAAATGATGGAACAAATAAAAATGTACATCAGAAAAATAATTTACATCTTCATTTAAGTTTAAGAGGCAAATGAGGTATGTATAAGCATGTGGTTAAGACCACTCTTCATGCATAATCCCAGGGGAACTATGTATCTCAACTGAATGCTACTTCACTGCGCCAACAATAATTAAGTTACCGTTGGTGTCTGGAATTGCGCAATGTGGTAGCCATCAGCTCTTAAGTCAGACCCCAGGTTCAAATATCTCCTAAGCTTAATAAATTATACAAATATATGAACTGATGATACCTAACTCATCAGAGTGTTATGAAGATTACATGAGATAAATGCCCAGCACAAAGGAACACTCAAAAAATATTAGCAACTTTTTCTTCCCTAAGGGGAAAGTATTAATAAACTTATAAGGCCAGACGTGGTGGCTTATGCTTGTAATCCCAGCAATTTGGGAGGTTGAGGCAGGCAGATCACTTGAGGCCAGCCTGGCCAACATGGCAAAACAAAAATTAGCTAGGTGTAGTGGTTTGCATCTGTGATTCTGGCTACTCAGGGGAGGCTGAGGCATGCGAATCCCTTGAACTCAGGAGGTGGAGGTTGCAGTGAGCCAAGATCATGCCACTGCACTCCAGCCTGGGTGACAAGTTGAGACTCTATCTCAAAAAACAAAACAAAACCCCTAAAAACAAGAAAACAACCATAAACATTTATAGAATAAAGCAAGGGATATATAAATACATAGACAATTATAGTAACAGCTCGGCTCTCTGGAACCCTTGAGGAATGTGATAGTCTGGTAGCTTACTTACGATACCTAGTTTTTTAATAGTTCCCCCATTGCCCCTAAAGTTAGGAAAAATTTCAAGAGAAGTTGAAAGAATTTTTTTTTTTTTTGAGATGGAGTTTCGCTCTTGTTACCCAGGCTGGAGTGCAATGGCGCGATCTCGGCTCACCGCAACCTCCGCCTCCTGGGTTCAGGCGATTCTCCTGCCTCAGCCTCCTGAGTAGCTGGGATTACAGGCACGTGCCACCATGCCCAGCTAATTTTTTGCACTTTTTAGTAGAGACAGGGTTTCACCATGTTGACCAGGATGGTCTCGATCTCTCGACCTTGTGATCCACTCGCCTCGGCCTCCCAAAGTGCTGGGATTACAGGCTTGAGCCACCACGCCCGGCCGAAGTTGAAAGAATTTTACACTTAACACTGACATACTCAACCAAGTAGATTCAATGCTATTTTACTGTTTTTGTCTAATCACATCTCTTTTTGTTTATTTTTTGAGATGGAGTCTCATTTTGTTGCCCAGGCTAGAGAGCAGTAACATCATCTTGGTTCACTGCAACCTCTGCTTTCCAGGTTCAAGCGTTTCTCCTGCCTCAGCCTCCCAAGTAGCTGGGATTACAGGCGCGTGTCACCATGCCCAGCTAAATTTTTTTTCTATTTTTAGTAGAGAGGGTGTTTCACCATGTTGGCCAGGCTAGACACAAACTCTTGGCCTCAAGTGATCCACCTGCCTCAGCCTCCAAAGTACTGGGATTACAGGCATGAGTCACCACTTCCGGCCTAATCACATCTTTCTGTCTATTCATACCACTAAACAATCAATCCATCTCTTTCTATGTATTTCAAGTAAACTGCAGACATTAGTACACTTACTTTCAAAACACTTTAGACATAATAGTTTAATATAAATCTATTATTTCCCAGCCTTTAAATTTTTTTTTTTTTTTTTTTTTGAGACGGAGTTTTGCTCTTGTTACCCAGGCTGGAGTGCAATGGCGCGATCTCGGCTCACCGCAACCTCTGCCTCCTGGGTTCAGGCAATTCTCCTGCCTCAGCCTCCTGAGTAGCTGGGATTTCAGGCACGCGCCACCATGCCCAGCTAATTTTTTGTATCTTTAGTAGAGACGGGGTTTCACCATGTTGACCAGGATGGTCTCGATCTCTCGACCTCGTGATCCACCCGCCTCGGCCTCCCAAAGTGCTGGGATTACAGGCTTGAGCCACCGCGCCTGGCTAAAATATTATTTATCAGGCATTAATATAGGTTGTGGATTACTCAGGAAAGACTCAGCTTTCCCAACTTTACATAGCAGCTACAGTAACATAAATTAGTTAGTTTCAAAACAGTACAGTATTACTTACAGGTGAGGCGTTTCTCAAACTTTATTGTGCATATGAAATCACTTGGGAATCTTGTTTAAACGGAGATTCTAAATTAGTAGGTCTGAGGAGGGAACTGATACTCTGCATTTCTAACCAACTCTCAGATAATGGTGAAGTTTTGAGAAACAGAGCCCTATAATAAAGAATTATTTTGTAATCTCTTTTTTTTTTTGAGACAGAGTTTCGCTCTTGTTATCCAGGCTGGAGTGCAATGGCGCGATCTCGGCTCACTGCAACCTCCGCCTCCTGGGTTCAGGCAATTCTCCTGCCTCAGCCTCCTGAGTAGCTGGGATTACAGGCATGTGCCACCATGCCCAGCAAATTTTTGTATTTTAGTAGAGATGGGATTTCACTTTGTTGACCAGGATGGCCTCGATCTCTTGACCTTATGATCCACCCGCCTCGGCCTCCCAAAGTGCTGGGATTACAGGCATGAGCCACCGCACCCAGCTATTTTGTAATCTCTCTTCAAAAACAGCTTTTGGACAGGTGAGGTGGTTCATGCCTATAATCCCAGCACTTTGGGAGGCTAAGGTGGGAGGATCACTTGAGGCCAGACGTTTAAGACTCAGCCTAGGTAGAGTACAGTGGCTCATTCCTTCTAATTCCAGCACTTTGGGAGGCTGGAAGCCCAGGAGTTTGAAACCAGCCTAGGCAACAAGGCAAAACCCTGTCTCTACAAAGAATAAACAAAATTAGCTGGATGTGGTGGCGCTCACTTGTAGTCTCAGCTTCTCACTCTGTTGCCCAGGCTGCAGTAGAGTGGTATGATCACAGCTTACTGCAGCCGTGAACTCCTGGGCTCAAGCAATCCTCCCATCTCACCTTCTTGAGTAGCTGCGACAACAGGCACATGCCATCACACCTGGCTAATATTTTTATTTTTTGAAAAGACAAGGTCTCACTATATTGCCCAGGCTGATCTTGAACTCCTGGACTCAAGCAATCATCCTGCCTCAGTCTCCCAAAGTGCTAATATTATAGGCATGAGCCACCAGATCTGGCCACTTTTTACGTTGAAAAACTACAAAAAACTGTGAGGCTCTGGATGACGTTAGTATTTCAATCCACAGATTGGGAGGGGGATTTTTATCAGTACTCCTTTTGTGGGCCCTCAATGTCTACTGAAAGCTCCATTTAGCTTCTCTGCAGCCTTTTCTGGAATTGAACACGTACTCAATAGGGAAAAACAGCTCCAATTCTCTCAGATCTTGGAATCCTAATTTTTCCATTTGTTATTTGTAGCTCTTGATGTCTTTAAATAGATAGTTTACATATTTTGTCATTTTTTTTCTTAATTATTCTCAGCAAGAGGGATAAGAGTTACCTAGTTATGAAGAAGTACAACTCCTTAAGACTCAATATCATGGTCAGAAATGTGTATAATGCAACAAAAATAAAAGAGATGTAAGAGCAAATTCTAAGTTTAGGTATTTTCTTTTTTTTTTTTTTTTTGAGACGGAGTTTCGCTCTTGTTACCCAGGCTGGAGTGCAATGGCGCGATCTCGGCTCACCGCAACCTCCGCCTCCTTGGTTCAGGCAATTCTCCTGCCTCAGCCTCCTGAGTAGCTGGGATTACAGGCACGCGCCACCATGCCCAGCTAATTTTTTTGTATTTTTAGTAGAGATGAGGTTTCACCACGTTGACCAGGATGGTCTTGATCTCTTGACCTCATGATCCACCCGCCTCAGCCTCCCAAAGTGCTGGGATTACAGGTGTGAGCTACCGCGCCCAGCCGTCATCTTATTCTTAAAGCTTCCTGACAAAAGCTAATTTGTTGTACTAATGTTGACAGCAAGTAAAAAGAAAATCTAGGATTAATACTAAAAATAGGCTGCTTTTAACTATGCTATTTCAAGTTAATGAGTAAAAATAGCAACAACTACAAAAAGACTATCCTTTTGACAAATGACTTAAACTTTTTTTAATTAAAAAAAATTTTTTTGCCGGGCGCGGTGGCTCAAGCCTGTAATCCCAGCACTTTGGGAGGCCGAAGCGGGTGGATCACAAGGTCAAGAGATCGAGACCATCCTGGCCAACATGGTGAAACCCCGTCTCTACTAAAAATACAAAAAAAAGTTAGCTGGGCATGGTGGCACGTGCCTGTAATCCCAGCTACTCAGGAGGCTGAGGCAGGAGAATTGCCTGAACCCAGGAGGCGGAGGTTGCGGTGAGCCGAGATCGCGCCATTGCACTCCAGCCTGGGTAACAAGAGCGAAACTCCGTCTCAATAAAAAAAAAAAAAAAAAAAAAAAAAAAAATTTTTTAAGTGGACATGGAATTTCGCTATGCTGCCCAGTCTGGTCCCAAATTCCTGGGATCAAGCAATCCTTCTGCATCTGTCTCCCAAAGTGTTGCAATTACAGGCATGAGCCACTGCATCCAGCCAATTCAATCTTTTTTTTTTTTTTTTTTTTTTTTTTTGGTGAAACGGAGTCTCATTCCGTTACCCAGACTGGAGTGCAGTGGCGTGATCTTGGCTCACTGCAACCTCCGCCTCCCAGATTCAAGTGATTCTCATGCCTCAGTCTCCCAGGTAGCTGGGATTACAGGGGTGCGCCACCATGCCTAGCTAATTTTTGTATTTTTACTTACTGGTGAGGTGTTTCTCAAACTTTATTGTGCATATGAAATCACTTGGGACTCTTGTTCAAATGGAGATTCTAAATTAGTAGGTCTGAGGAGAGAACTGATATTCTGCATTTCTAATCAACTCTTTTTTTTTTTTTTTTTTGAGACGGAGTTTCACTCTTGTTACCCAGGCTGGAGTGCAATGGCGTGATCTCGGCTCACCACAATCTCCGCCTCCTGGG